TTCGGTTCGGAAAGGCATGGCGTTCAGCCCCCGCAGGGGAACTCTTTTTGTTATATCTATGTTGGAGTCCACTTAGATTTTTTCGCACAATCGTCTTTTTTTCTCCTTTAATCCAAGTTAAGTCATTGTAAAAAGACCTTTTGAGAAAGGACATCAAACCTGACTGACCGTAATATGTATATCCAACTTATTATGTCTTTTTTCATTTCGGCTCTCTTTATTAGCGTGTATCCAATAAAGAAATATTTGTTACAAGTGGTTGCGATCTGAAACTGATTTCTAAGTGTCGCCAACAGTTCAAATGCCTTTCCTGGAAGCTATTTTGTCCAGTAAAAGTTAATACTTAATTAGTTAAAAAAACTTTTACCGCAGGCTTCAACTTCACGTGCATATCATTATCTGTCATTCGATAAAACTTAATTTCGATCGCCACCAAGGTAGACCAAACATGCAAAGTACGCGCGTGAACGCATTGCTCTAATCTTTTATTACTACTAGTTTTATATAAGTATAATAATTTATCACCACATCTATCGCAACATCGGATTAACAGAATTAAAAACCTTAAATCAATATTTTGCTATTAGAAGCGGATTTTCTGACGCAACAGTTGAAACCACTTTTCGCTCACTTTCAGTCAGTGTTTCGTTACCGTGACAATATGCAAATAAGTAGGAATTTCAGAGAAAATTCTCAGTTTTTTGTGGCGTTTTTTAGAGCGCCCGCTGAAAAACCCAAGCAAATTTTTATATCTCGTACAAGAAGAGTATTTCGACACTTTATAGCCATAAAATGAGCTCGATTCGAGCTCAGCCACATAACCAAAAGTCTTTTTGCAATTATAGACTGAAACTTGCTTTACAACAGCATCAAAGGATGTGTTTTTCGCAGTGACAGCTACCGAAAAACAGACAAATATAGCGTGCCAAAAACTTGTTCTTTTAATATAAGTATCTAATTTCCGAAGATACAATTTTAACTATTAACGCGACGACGTTTTTGCAATGTATTTTTTGCCTATTGATTCGGCCAGTTTTTGGCCAGAGAGAGCGCGAAATCCATTTTCCCAACTATTCCTGAAAGTAGGCCGTATTTAGAAAAATGAACCCCAAAACCTTTGAAAACTCATAAATACCTCTCCATAAACTCGAAACAAGGGTAAGTTAAATTTTGACCGAGGCCCCCCTTTGCTCGATATTTCTGTTCATTTTCTCTTAAATATCCCGCACCTATATTAAAATCAAATGACAAACCAATCAAATGATCGCAGTTAATCAGGCATTCAGTGCGTGGTTACAAAACGTTCGAAAATTTAAATTGCAAATTATACATGTGCTGAAGCATTTTGCTGCGTTGCGTTCTTCGGATGTACATCATCCTTTCACTTTCAAGAATTCGACTTTTTAATTTGGCTTCGGTCACTTCTAGTAACAGGTAGTAAGCCTTCATTTGAGATGGTCCTTCCGTTTCCAGCTGCTACGAGACACAGTGATACCTGGGAAAAGAACTAACTTCAAATGAGCAAACCTTGCAACGACTTGCTTCGAGTGGGAAGTCTTTTGAGTCTTGCAAAGGTATGAACTGTACTCAAACCCAATGTATTTTTGTTGCGGTAACTTGGCGTTTTCTTCCTCGAACGTGTTTTACTCTGATAGTAAGCATTTCAGAATAATTAGCACTTGTACAATAGTAGTTATCCCCTCTCCACTCGTGAATGAACGCCGACATTTAGAACTGCTGACCGGGTCCGTACATTCATTCGATGAAAGGTGATCTCTTGTAGTAGACCGTTTGCAAGGGACTTATTATAAATTGAGTCCTTCTTCACTGAAGTGGATTTTGATGTTCGGGTATTTTTCTCAGCGTCCATTAAACCAGCTTCAACGCAACGAAATGATCTATTCGAAGTACGTGTTATTATTCTATAGCAGAACCAGCCGAGATTGATTAGGGAAACCTGTATGCTTAGGTATTCTTTAAAGCAACCACATATTATTCATACAATCATTTTTATCCTTTTTGCAGAACTGATGAGAAATGGTGATAAAACGGACAAAATTCTATTAGGATCCCTGACACGATTACTTCAGGTAACTTGAACCTTTTAGTCTCTTGCTGGAAGTTTATATTCTTGTTACGGTGTGCCACAAATTTCTTTCAATGCTAGCTCGGAGAATGTGGAGTTGCATCAAAACAATTCGTTAAATGATTTGACTTGCTCTCTTCACAAACAACTAGTATCTTTGTCACGGTGGCAACGTGGTGAGATTGATAAAAAATGCATTCATTGTAGTTCACTAATGCGGCCTTGGTCAGACAGTTGAAAGGCTTGAAAATGAGAGAATAGGTTCAGAATTCAAGTCCCACTATGCGGCGCACGTCTCAATTTCCAGAGCAAGGAGGAAAAACGAATTGAAATTGTTTTTCTGACATTGTTATTGCCGTTTTTATGGCTTCTACACGGCTCTATAGTGATGAAAGCCGACATGTTCGCACGATATTTTGTTTCTCTTAGAACGTGGTTTTGTTAAAACATAATCATTGATGTAATTACTTATGCTGCTTTCTTGCTCGCTTTTTAGATTGGTGTTGCTGTGGCCCCTCGCGGTTTAAACCGATGAAATGAAGATTTAACAAAAATTGCGAATTTTAAAACCTTTGTTTACTGGTCATGCATGCTAAATAGGCCTCGGTGTCTGAAGGCTGCAGGTTTTCACGGGGCGTTTCTTGCTGGTTGGTTGCTGATCAGTGAACAAATCACAACGAAAGAGATTGCTTTAAATTTTTATTCGCTAAAATTGTCGGAAACTTCCGTCGAATCACCGTGCGCTTACGTTACAGAAAAATAATCTTTGGTGACCACTAGTTTTCATTACATGCCACAAGATATGAACTAGAACAAGACAACCTCATAGTCGCAAGGATCAACGGAGATTTGTTAAAAAACAAACATTATAAAAAACGAAGATTAAAAGAATCAGTTTTCTTCTTAGTCCTATATTATCGGGATTTTAATGCTGACAAAATGATAGGACGATATTAGAAGATTTTTACGGTTGACTTTTATTGGGGTTATTCTTCGTTTTAAGTAGACTTGTTACAAGCATCATGTTTCTAGACTACCCATAACTAACTTATTAAAGTGAATTTTATTTTCCGTGGGCCTTCATCATAATAACAGCGAATACAAGAAAAACAATTTTTGCCTACGCGAAATACCTTAATATCTTCCCCTCCGGGATTGAGTGACCTTGAACGACCTTCAATAGGCCGCACAAGATATGGCCGCTTCTGTTCGTTTACCATTTTAATGCAAATTAATTACCACGTGATTTCTGAGAGGTAAACAAATTATATTCGGGGGATTTCAAGCAGATTATTTTCTTGGAATTCTAATTGATTTGTCAGAGTGGCTTTATGATAATTAAATACGCTCAAATGTAAAACACTTGTGTAATATGTATTCAGTTGCAGAAGTACTGACATGATCTTTTGCTTATTTTCCTTAGCGTCTCCTGGTTACAGGAAGATTCTGATAGACTCTCATTGGTGGATTTTCAAGGCTTGTCTTGGATTCTTGGATTCGTCAGATGCCTGCTGACATGAAGAAGATTCTGGATCACGCTTGTGCAAGTAGTTTTCGTTTGGTAAAGAACAATAGTTTAGTTACTAATTTTGTTAGAAACCGTGACTGATCGACAATCAATTTATCCTCACAAAATGCAAAACCAGTTTATTGTCAAGCAGAAAAGTGACAAGAAAATCTGCATCTAATTATATTGTCTTGATGTATCGCCAAATTCTCACAACTGTTGCAACAAGAAACGTATAGGAATTAGGAAAGAGAAATTATACTTAGAATTGAATGAACGCGGATCCATGTTATTGAAACCACAGACCAAAAAAAAAATTATTTGCTGACCATATACACTCAATTTATTATTTTTGGAAAATCATCGTTTGCTTGTTTACCGCTGTGAGCTGAAATTGTTTTGAAATCTAGCCACGATTCGCTGTTTGATTTGTCATAATTCGACATGCAAATATTTAAACTACACAAATCTCTCAGATCACTCAAATTTTGAACTACGCATCCTGTCAATTTATAACGTAGATCGTTTCTTTGGCCAGCCATGAAACTAAATTTTATCAGTTTTTGGAAAAAAAATTGTTGATGGCTTCTTCACCGTCCAGTCAACCACTATTATTTTAAATTTCGACAGATTTCGCTGACTGATAGTCAAAATCTTTCATGTAGCAGATCAATGAAATTTTACATAAAACTAAGCTGTTGAACTGAATATTCCGCGTCGTTTCAGTTTGTTTTTGATTTAATTGTGACTTCAGGTGAACTCAGTAGGAACTGTCGCTTGAATCTCGCCAAATTTTGCTGTTCGATTACAGTCAAGTTCAGCATGCACTAACCGTACAGAAAAGATTTTTTAGAGCAACTTTTGTAAAAATAGTCGCCTTTTTCAATTTATAACGTATTTTTTGGCTGATCACATAACTCAATTTGTTTTGGAAGAATTGTTTTCGCTTGCTTGGTTACCGTGAAGTCAGCTGTTTGATTGCAGTCAGATTTGACATGTACTAATAACCGGTGCAGAAATTCTTTTCCGTCAGCAAAGTTTGAAAACTAAAATCTATAGTATGAATTGTATATATTATGTGTCGTGTCGTTCCATAACATGGATCCACACTTAATTTGTATCCAATGCTGTTAAAACTTTGAAGAAATATTTTATGCAAAGATGCTATCGCGTATGCCAGCGAAAGATTTATTTTTAAAACCGGAGCAAATTTTTGCTTGAAGCTGATGTAAAAAAAAAAAAAAAAGCCAGTATTGAATTTCAGTGTTTACCAGCAACTTAGTGATACACTCGTTCGTAAAAAAATAGGACAATTTTCATCACTTTTTAGTTTCGACTATTGCATTCCCTAAAATGAGAAATTTCGTTAAATTTTTTTCAGAATTCTCTCCACTGATACTTATAACAATTTAAAACGTTTCAGACTTAGTATTTGCTCGATAAAGCAACTTCATCATATTACTTTCGGTTATTGACTCTTGTAATTACTACAAATAAATTCCAGACTCAGAAATGTAGTTTATTGTTTCAACTTCTTTAATAGTTTGATTTGCAATTACTGTTGTAAACAAGTTACCTTAATAAAACTTGTAAATTAAGTTAATGGTACAAAACAATAAAAAAATAAATGAAACCATTGTTTCTTTTATTTCTGATTTGTCTTTTATTTTACAACGGGAGTTAAAAAAATATCGCGCTTTTAAAAGGGGCCTGGAAACTAGTCGGAATGTAGGCTATCTCTTTTACTATTTTTTGACTATGTAGAGTTGCCAAAAAGAAAAAAAAAACTGCACTTTTGAACAGAGTCTAGCCAGAAAATCAAACATATACTTTGACTTTCGATGGAAAAAATCCTTTGCACACGGCAAAATTTTTCCCGCCAAAAGACTTAGTATATTTTTGACTCAAAACCAGACACCAATCAAAAGCGCAGACTTTTTTTTCTAAGGACAATTTTTCCAGCCAAAAGACTTAGTTTTTTTTCCTTCGATTTTTTTGGTCCCTTTTAAAAGCACAATATCTTTAACCTAGAATAATTTTCTCGCCAAGAGACTTGGTCATTATTTTCGACTTGTTCCTCGTTGGCTTTCAATGCGCACATTCTTAATCAATCCAAGACAGTTTTCCGACTTTTCCCTCAGCACAGCATACATCCCAGTCAATTTTCTGTCGAAAGTCATTTTATTATAATCCACTTTTCCTTGCATGATGACTCCACAAAACTAACTGAATTTTGTCTTGGAATCTAGAAGGAAAAATACGAAATATAAAGTGAGACAAAGTATTCTTTATGCAGACACTGTTTAAATCGAACATTTAATGTGTACTGTTTACTAATTACAAGATACATCCATAGATATCAGCTTGGTGAAATACCAACCTATACGAAGGTTAATGTTTTTCATGACTGCATTTAGAATTGATGCTAGTTAAGTTTATGTAAACTTCTTGCGTTCTTAAACTACAAGCATCAAAATTTAAAGAAAAATACAGTATCCATTCCTACATGTAGCATTTCATGTATGTTTTCCAAAAGCATTTCGAACAATTATTTGAGGTTTTCTATCAAATTTCCAAGGTATTATAATTTGGCTTAAACTAACGTCTTAGTAACTTCTTGAAACTCCACTTTTAACGTCACGTCAACATAAACAAAACCGAAACGAGTAGAGTTAACAAATGTTCAAGCACATGCGAGGTGTTAAAAGAGCTCAAAAATATCCTAATTATTGGGTAGTCAACGTGTTTCAATTTCACCTGGAGTTAAAATCTTTGCAAAATGCATGTACCGTTCGGGGCTATCTTACTGTCAAATACACTAGTTTATTAAAGATCCATCAACGTTAGATTATTGTAATTCAGAGTAAATTTGACGTCGACGTCTCTGTTTACATTTTGCATACGACTTTGCTTAGAAAAGGCATCATGCCAGTTATAAATTGACTCTAAATTGACTCTAAACATTTAAATAGCTTGTGAAATTTAGTATATGGTGACAGGCCTTCTCCGCTCTTTGTGTATCGCATTGAAGCAGGTATTGGCTTCCAAAATTAAAACAGCGAAATTTCTGGGTAGCAAAAGCGCTAATGAACCCATACAATGGGTAAAACTTTAATCTTTTTAAGTATTAAGGGTATTTATTCGTACAATACTCCGTCAATGTTCAGAGTTGATTTTTTTTCAAAAACTGTAAGCGAGTGTTTGCCAGTGAGAGATAAATAGATTCCGATTAAAATGTTCCTTCCATTTTAACCCTAATTTACACAATGCATTTCGAACCTTAACTTCAAATAAGCCGTCAAACACCTTTAAACAAGTGAAACAGAACATTGGCCGACAATTAACACTGGATTGGAGTAAATCTGTTTTCGAGCAACCAGGACATCCGTTGTTTACATGTAGTTTGTATTCCAAGTAATCAACTAACCTTGTCAATTAGTCATAGTCTCGTCATCAAATTGCCCTTCTTTCCAAACTCCAATATCCTTTGTGTATTTCTAGCTTTTCCCATTCTATGCTTGCCTTTTTCCTGGAGAGAGAAAATACATTAAATAATTGCTGGGTAACGTACTTGTACTTGTCTGTAATGAATAGTGTAGAATGGTGCATATCATTAGTTACATAATCGAAAGTAAACACTTAAGCTAAGGAAAAACTTTAAAAGATGTTACGTGAACTACGAAAACGTGAAATTAACCAAACCATATAGCAACATAGAATCAGAGTAATTATCAAAAAAAAAAAAAAAAAAAACCTTTCAAAGTACGTCTAAAGTAACTTCCCTACATACAGAGTTTACATTTGTAATCAGTCCTAAGGTTTTGAATTTCTTAGAGTCTGCCATGAACAAAAAAATAATACGAGCTTAAGATTCGAGTGTTTTTTTTTTTCCTTATTGTTTTTGGCGAAATACTAGCGCTTTTTCCCACACATGACGGAATGAAACAAATTCAGATTAACCAAGAAAACTGTTTTTCAACCTTCCTCCTTATCTTTGACAAAGTTTCGACTACATCAGTCACAACCTAGCTTCCCGCGATCTGTTGAAATTTGTGTTTACATGAGAAGTGAGCGTCTCACTCCATGGTCAAACACGAACATAACTCATCAACTGTGATCTTTTCGTCTGAAAGCTGTCTCGTGAGAAATTTAATTATGCTTTCAAAATAGTATTATACAAACACGAGCATGACTTCTTTTCAAGGGCGAAAGAACTCGAGTGGAACAAGTATTTTGCGGGAGACTTATCAGGAGGTCTGTTTTAAAACGCCACAGGCATGCGCAAGGCCAAGATCGCCGTCTGACACTTGCAACGATAGGAATATTGATAAAGCATAAGGACTAACCTCTTGTTTGAGGAACAGGTTTTATTTCATTGCGTCTTCATCTCCATGTCAACCACGAGAAACTCTCTCCAGCATTATGATATCAGCTGACCAGTTCTGCCTTTGTAGGAAAAAAAACCCACCATGATCGTTTCATAAAGTCAGCTGGACAATTACCTTTTACACATACAGCTAGTACCTCTTAATTACATTTTGAGTGCTTCCTAGTCAGGCCAGTGGTCGCATTCAATTGCCGGCTTTCATGTGACGTCATCAATTTCCAAAATAAGAAATTACCAATCCTTGTGAATTTTAGTTTCATGAGATGTAAGACCCTCTAATAACTTGACGTTTTGCAACGTTTAAGCCCGACAGGGTTCCTCATTATGTAATGGAGCACGGCGGAATTTCATAGTTTATGCGTTGGGTGACATTAATATGGCGGCTCGATAAGGCTGTTGAGTAAGTCAAAAGATGAGTTATTGCTCAAGTTTTTACTAACTAAACAATTCTTGCTCTAGACAAAGCATTAATTTAAATGTATCGGAGCTCTAGAGTAATAACGTTTCGTTTCAATGGCAAAACTCAATGACAGATGTTTCTGCTACTTTACGGCCGCCATGTTTGTGTCCCTCCGAGGGGCACAAACATGGCGACACCATACAAAGCTCTATAAATTTGAGTGAAACAGTTTTCCGAATAACGCGCGGATGGAAAATCGTACAGACTTAAAACTTGGCGAGGTTATTTATATATCAACCATCTTTCATATCTCAGCTTCTTGACTTAATTTATTGAATGGTTACGATTTTTATTTTTGATGGCGTGACACTGCAAACCAGCCATACTGGAACTATTTCTCAGTCATTATTCAGAATTTTCAAATAATTGGTCACTAGCGATCATCAGCTGTGATATGAAAATCAAATTTTGATTAAAACTAACTCAACCAAATTTTCTGAGTAAAATTAATTCCTCTGCCTAGTTGATTCTGCTGTAGCTATAGTAAGCTACTACATGTATCTCGGACTCATTTTCTTTGGGTTCTTTAACTCGGATGCATATTGTTTCAGATCTACAATAAGCCAATTAACTAATCGACTAACCTCTTAAAGAACGGCATTATCTTAACAGTCGTCTTTCTCTGATTCATCGCAATGCGATGATCGTCACTTTACCCATCCCACTGATGCTTGAAGTACGTTTGCTTGAAGGGACAAAGTCAGATGTTGGGTGATCTGCCTGTCTGTGTTGAAATAACAAAAAAAGTTCTCAAAATATGGAAGAAAAAATTTAGTAGGAGTGTTTTAACACAAAGGCTCATTCTAACAAGAAATTGATTTTTTAAAAAGAAATTTTCTCAATCGCTGTGTTTGCCTATCTTTCAGGCATTACCAAGTAAATTGATCCACAACTAACCAAAACGTTTTAAAACGAAGTCTGTGAAATAGGGCCTCACAAAATAAGGGTGGAGTCCTCCAGGAGTGGGTTAACCTCCGAAGCCCAATTCAAGAGTGTTTTAAAAGACGTCCTAGTGAACTCTTTAAGTGTAGGAAATGGACTTGTTGTATAAATGTGGTCTATTTCAATCTATGATCGCAACAATACAGAAAGGCGATGGGAAAGAATTCCCCCTCCCTCCCTCTTTCCGCCCAGAAATGTTTACCCTTACATACACGTATATATTGCTCAAACTACTGAAAGTCGAACTTTTTTAACCGGTAGCTGCCAGGTCAGGAAGAGTACTCTGGTCTTGGCAAATGAAATACTATAAAAACCTTATTAATGATACTATACAAAAACCGTTTATTTTTTGTATCATAAAGGCAAAGCTAATAAAATAAAATAAATAAATAAATAAATAACAAATAAAAGAGAGACTAACCTGTGGTTTGAAGAATACCACTATCCTACTGTGTGTCTGTCCATGTCAATCAAAGAACGTTTTCATGAAATCGTGCGTGCTTACCTAATTAAGGAAAAAATGACACGATGAACCGGTGGTAAGACGAGCTCGACATATTAAACAGCTGCTTATTGGACGCTGCAAATACTTCATAGATCACGAGTCATTCTCATACTAAGAGTCTCTACAGAAAGTGGAGAACATATGAAAAATTAACTTACCGTGCACACTTCCCTCAAGGACTTAGCTCTTGAAAAGCTTGTTAAATGTACTTCTGTTATTAAAAGGTTGGTTCCAAACAACCCAATGTTTCTGGTTCTAATCATTTGTGCGAAAGGCGTCCTGTTCTAATTAATTTATGCAAACTGGTCGTGCATAAAATTAAACATGTTAAACAGAAAAAGTCGCTCGAAGATTATCTTTTCAATACATACAACCGTTTATAAGTATATTTTTCGTGGGCAGCTTTCAACAAGGGACGCAAACTAAGTTGATTCCCTGTCAAGGAGACCGTTGAGGAAACATATTCTAGTCTTTACCTTTTTCGACGTCAAATGTCCACGCGTTGGCGGCCATCGTTTCAATACAACACCCATGTCAATGCACTAACTACACGGCGCTCTCTTGTTTAAGTTTCGCACCAAAGGCCATCTGCCAAGTCGATATGGACGAATTCGATGGTAACATCGTTAACTTCGCAGGTTTCTTGGTCACAGAATAACTTAGAGAAGATGAACATTTAGAAATGGAGTCGTTTGCATGCTCTTTCAAAGTACCACAAGGAGGTGACGGTAAAAAACGGGCAGGTACAAACCTCGGACCCGATCAACTCGGATGGCTAATTTACATAAAATGGCATGTATTGCATATGCCTTGTTCTTGAATGGTTGCCATTCTTATTTAAACCAGCGATCCGAGTAGATCCGGCACGAATTTTGCCCCCGCCTGCAAAAAACGAATAATTGCAGGTAACTGTAAAGTGTAACTGTATTTCAAATGAGTGACATCCTTCAACTTCAAAACAAATGGATATGAGGGTAATTACTAAACTTTTGCGAAAATTTAAAGATAAAAACAAATTTTTTGCCCGCTATTGCTCACAAGATAATAAATTACAACAATAATAAGCAACACTTTTTGACAACTCGCACATTTAACGTGACGTTCTAACGGTGTTCAACCAACACGTGATTCTGGAAAACGAAAACGACCATATGGCCTCCGTTTTTGCTACTTTCAAGTACTGTACATGAAATTATTCCCAGGAGTAAAGCCTGAAATCCAAAGTCGCGAAAAATTTTTCCCGCGAAACCTGAAAAGTCCAAAATCCGTGAAATTAAACTCAAGCGAAAATCTCATGCCACACGGCTTTAGCAGATGTAGGAATTGTGAGCGATTTTGTTTTTCATGCAATTTGAGTGCGTTTGCATGCCTATTTCAACAATCACGCATTCCGGAATTGCGTAAATTTTTCGGGCAAGATGGTCACGGTCCCCCCCTCTCCCCCCCAAGTCCGAAAGGGCCCGTACGCCTATGTTCACATATCAGACAGATTGTTAAGTGAAAGGTGACTTCCAGCAATTAAACCCAGTGATGTATGCAAATATACGTTACATATCGAGTGACTCACCGCCAGTATTTGTTGTCCATCGTCCGTTCCTACTGCAGGCCACCAACCATTCGTTCGCTTGAGATCAAACAAGGACACAGTCTCTACGTTCCGTTTATAATGATCTCCCTCTCCAGGAAGTTGATAAAAGGCCACACCTGCGGGCATTCTTGGCTGGTTTTGGTATTTTGTTTAACTTTATATCGAGTTGACCTTGCCGAAGGGAAAGAAAAGAGAACGTAGTTAATTACAATTAAAGAGCGCGAAAAAAGCAGTGTCACAAGATAGAACAAATTGAAACGCCTCTTGCTATCTGTCAAAAGCGTTTCATCTTTGTATGATTCTTTGTAGTAACAATCTAACTACACGTACCAAATAGTTAGAAAAACGCAAGCATGCCACTAGATAAAGAAAACAGTACTATATGCATAAAAAATTGCTACATGTAAATTATTTTGCAAAATTCGATGTTAACATTATTCAAGTTCTTTCTGGTCTCCACAAATGAACCTTATTTAAAAATAAATTTGCATAAGGGGTTCCTTCTTAACTACCAATTGGTCATGAATTTGTTGCTAAGGGACCGTTCATTTTTTATAAGGTAGGGGGGGCTGGTGGGATTTGGGGGGGGGCCATGCGAAAAAAAAATGGCTTTCGAGGGGGGGCCATCCCAAAAAAATAAGGGAAAAAGGGGGGGTCACGTGAAATATTTTAGTAAAACTTTAAAATGGCATAATGTTTGAATATCAAAAAAATTGCT